TGATATGGATAGCTTTTAAAGTTTTATTGGCAGGAACATCAGAGACACTGGTGGATGTGGACAGTTCCATGTACTTATCTGAATTCAAAAAAAGTCTGTAATTAAGAAGTAGTAATTGGAAACTATCAAAGGCAGGCTGAAGATGCCTGGCTTGGAATAGAACTGGGAGCATATACAATTGTATCATCTGCATAAGTGGATGTTGAAGTGGTGATTAGGAAGAATAATAGTTATTATGTATAGTGTAAATTGTAATGGACTAAGAATAGGGCCCTGTTGCACCCCTTTAGTGATTACTACTTTTGCTTCTGGTGTCGGTTATTACCACTACTTTATTTCACAGCTTTGTTGAATACTTAAATGGTCAATTATGACATTCTACAGACCATCACTATGGACGCAGTTTTTAATCAATATAATAATTTTGTATTTAGTCTCAAGGGCTTTGTGTTGGGATCCTGCACCACCCCTATTTTTTATTTTATTTCACAATAATGACTTTACATTATCCCTTAATCATGTAACCGTACCACTACTACTGCTGCCAGTACTATTACTACAACTAAAGGTTTGTAATGATTTGTAATGTTTGTTTGTTAATGCATCCAAAAGACTGCCTTTTATTTTTAATTATGATTAGTTTACAAACATTTCCAATTAATAGCCAAATCCACCTGCATGTAATAAGTAATTAAAACAAAGTTAAGTATGAATTAACATTACATGCACTAACAAATGTCAGTGTCTGCTGACTCACCCAGGTAAATGCCATCCAGGTGGGAGCATCTCTTCTTCGTCACATTCACATCCACATAGAAGAGGACCACTGGGTGTCCAAAGTTCTCCCCGGGGCTCGGATCCAGCACCAGCACAGCATCATGGGCCGTGGAGCCTGGGAAAGGCTGCTGGTGTCTGTGTGAAGCTTCCCCTCCATTCAGTACCTGGCTGACGCTGAAACCTCCCCGTGTTTTGGAACTCACCGTCCCACCTGAAGAGTCCGGCAGGATGGCCAGAACTTTGTCTGCGTTAAGGGTTTTGGAAGAACAGATAGAATATTAAAACAAATGTGTAACCATGAGTAAAGGTCACTAAATTTATTATTGTAAATCTGAGATACCTCAGAGCATTTGAAAAATATATAAAAATGTCTGCTTGTCTACAGGAATGTCGACAGGAATCATACACACTGTGGGTAGACTACATATTATAGTACTATTAGTACGCTGCACCTCCAAAGCAAATCTAATCTAAAGTAACACAGTGACAATACAATAGCATACAGAAGAGAAAAAAATAATTTAAATACAAAACTGTCACTTTCAACTCAAACTGAATAAAATCTGATAATTTGACATTATCTGGTAAATTGTGTAAGGGATTTTCCATTTTTATCCATTTAAAACAATGCTATATATTTATATTATCTAATAATTAGATACATGTCTTGATTTTAAGTTTTCACTCATGGGGCTTTTTAACAGCAGACAATTTAACTTAGTTATAGTAATAGTAGTAATAGAATTAATGTTAACAATGGCTGTTCTATTAAAGTGTGCCAGTATAAGACATGACAGTGTGACAGTGTGACAGTGATCCAGCATGCACGATACCAGGACCCTGAAACCACTAACTGGAATTCAGACATGCATCATTTTATTATTCTATTTTACTCCAGTGCTCTAAATACTGTAAAATATAATATATTTTATATAAACGTAATTTCCTGAAAAAAAGTCCTGTTCTTTACCTAGCTTTCAATTTGTAGCTACATAACCAGCATTATTATGAAGATTGTTGTTACATTATTATGGTTTTTTACCAATGTTGTCATTTATTACATTGCATTTTGACTAAGAATGTGTAATTATAATAATGCTACTAATCAAAACAGATAATATTTATTATTTTTTT